GTTTAATCAGGTGTGAGTTCAGAGTGTCCAGAATAGGAAGGTATGTTTCCACCTTGAATTTTTCACTTCCGCAGAGAAGTATCTGTTCCCCTGACTGATCTGGTAAGACGCACACTTCGCTTTCTTGCACATTTGTCTCCATCGCTATATTTCGAATCTGGACACCTGCTTTTAGCCTTCGCTTCACACTCACTGAATTTGTCTCTCATTTCCTGAAGGTAGGCTTTCAGAGACTTGAGGAGACCATTGGCAACAAATATGTCCACATCTTTTGACTACAAAATTTTACTTGTTTTGTTCACTATTTCCAGAATGTCATTCCAAAGAATTGTCAAAAAGATAGTATCTAGCTTCTCTATTTTCTTGCTCAATCCTTCTGCCTCGCTTCTTGTGTTCCACTCTTGATCAGTGTCAACTGCAAGGGCATCCAATGCATCTTGAATTTTCTCGAAACCTCCATAAGAGCAGTGACAGCATCGAAATGTGCTGACCATCTCGTATCAGAGAGACACTTGACCACAATATGATTTTTTTCCTAAGGATGACGTCAGAACATTCCAGCGATGTGTGGAAGTCGAGAAAAAGGAATACAAACGCTGAACAAAGTCAAAGAAGGAGACGATCTGTGGACCACACTCTGCCGCTTTAACTCCCACCAAGTTCAGACTGTGTCCAGCACCAGGAATATAGATAGCAAATTCATTTAGTTCACGGATCCGTGCTTGCAATCCAGTGTAGCGTGCTGACATATTTGAAGCATTGTCATAAGACTGACCACGGTAGTTTGATAACAGAATGTTGTTCTCTTGCAGGAACTCTACAACCGTGTCTGCTAAATTCTTCGCCCCGTGAGAAAAGATGGGGATGAATTTGAGGAAACGTTCCACCGGCTCACTTCCACGAATGTACTGAACAGTAAATATCAGTTGATCAATATGCGAGATGTCTGGATTGGAATCAACACTTATTGAATAATACTTTGACTTTTTGATTTCTTCCAGAATTGCACAAAATACCCGTTGTCCCATTATTTCAATAAATTCTTCACAAATGTTTGCCGATAGATATGATGGGTTCCCCTTTCCAGTATTTCCATACACTTTTAAATGTTCTTCCAAAAAAGGGTCAAATTCACTCAATAGTTCTAGAATGCCAAGAAAGTTTTCATTTTTTGAGGAGCCAATAATTTGATTTTCCCCATGAAATGCCAAACCTCTGGAGGTAAGAAAGCGGATAACAGAAACCATACGCTTTAACACGTTATACCAGTACTCCTTTTGTGAATGATGCTGACTTAGCAATGCAGAATCCAGACAAACACTTCCTTTGTGCCGAATCGAATATTCCAACAGGCATCTGCGATGTTCTTCTCCATTTTCGTGTTATACAACGACATTGCTGTTTTTCCAATCATTGAATCCTGATGAAGCGAAAGGAGATTCTTTCTTGGATAATAGACGACATGGAAAGCAATACAAACAACCTTTGGATGGTGAATATAGCAGCCATTCACGTTTTATAAACTCACCATTCCGCAGTTCACATTTGAATAATTTGTTTGTTAATTATCTTGTCTGTGTTTTTTCTCCTTCACCATACACACGGCGGGAGTTCGAAAAGTTACAATCGTGATTTTGACATTTTCACATTTTGTCGGCCCATTGAGAATCCAGTGGTCTACTGTAGCAGTATCTTTCGTGTTCCATAGTCCTAGATCTGTCAGAGCGTGATCGTAAATCACATTCAAACTTTCGGTTACTGTTGCGGATTCGTGTATTTCTTCTAGTAGTTTAGTAGGAGAAGGAGCTCGTGTATGTGGAACTGGAAGATCAGATGACGAAGTGCTTGCAGGAGTGTAAGTAAGTGATGATGCTGTATCCAGGAACAGTAGCTTTTGCAGCAGGGGTGAACCAAGCCGATAACTTTGGAATTTTGTTAAGTTTTCTTTTTTTCCTCTGTAGTTCTTTTCCTTTTCAGTGCTCCACTTGCATATGTACACTTCATTTCTGTTAAAAAAATAAATA